GAAAAGAGAACACGAACTAACTGAGAACAGTAGTGCCCAATGTTCACTATATTCACGAATTATATTTCTCAAAGAACATCAAGTTGACAACGTGAATTTGGGCATCTACGTTCATCACAGAGCCAAATTCTTGGTTGAGAACATTCACAAGATATCAACAAGTTTCTTCATATCTGAGTTGTCATTACCGATGACAGAAGTAAACAACTCAACCAGAATTTTATGATATCTAACAAAGTCAACCTATGTAGCTAGTATTTACAAAACTCAGCAAAATTATGCAATGAAGCTCATTTATCCTAAGTATCTACCTGATAGCGACACAGTGAGCAGAATTGAGCTCATTAAATCCAAATCACAAAATAGGTTGCTGACACTACATAAAACATATAATTTATTCAAACCAAAATGTGAAAAAAAACATAAATCTCAACGCGCTAACTATTTCCAATGAAAATTTTGCCAAGAGATCAAATGGAGTTGAAGGATCCCATCGATGGAATGACTGATGAGGGTCAACGGAATCGGGGATGCAAGGAGGAAGGCGTCCTCGTTGACCTCGACTAAGAATAGACCTGATCGCTGAGCGGGCCGGGATAGGCTGGGCCTCAACTTCTCAAAATGGAATTTGGCCCAACCAAAATGGCTTAAAGCCCGTCGGGCTGGCCCACTGGGCCTCCGCACGTCTGCCAAGTCGCGGGCCGACCCGCAATGACTTGTCGAGCCCTCGCACTTTGTGGGCCCTGCATTTGCGTACCTTAAAAAACGTGAAAAATGTGTGGTTGGACCAAAAGATTTCGTATCATCTTCAAGGGGAGGTGAGTGATGTATCGTCTCCGACATACATTGTTTTAGAGATATTTCAAGCTTTTCAAACTTGGAATTACCTATATATATATAATGGATTATACTATCATGTAACAATTTACATATGAAATATGTGTATATCCTATAGTAGAATTGTTTTGGATAAATGTAATGTGATTCACAACGTATTGGTGACTAATCACCCAACTTATGGGTAAAGGTGTAGGGGGAAGTTTTGTCCGGTGAAACCATCAATTTCGCCTTTTGGCCAAATCTTAGGCCTTGACTTGACGGGTTCTCCAGCCCCGCAGGGATGGCAGGGTGGAAGTTTTGAGGCCATCTTATTATATATAGTGCATGCCTCCTCTTGCTCCTAGTTAGATTGTCTGCATCCACTCCGCAAGGTCTTGCTCCTTTGACTTCCTCTTCAACGGGACATGACCTTTCTTATCATGACAAATCTTTGTTAAATAACTTCAGTGAGAACCAAATACATTATCCACAATGAAAGTTACGAGCGATTATTGGTCATTACTCAAAGTTCAAAGATGGAAATCAGGATTAGGAGACTGATAGACAGGTTTATTCCCACATACTTTCCTAATCTTTCTCTCACTGGTTGGTAGGTCACCTAGGGGAAGGGGTCTTGTCGTTCCGGAGAATCCAGTTACAAGAGATCCTACAATGGAGAGTTTTCGCCCTTTCTAGAAGAAAAACGAAAGTGTCTAGAGATGCAAAGAGGTCTATCAACGAGCAAAGGATCTCGCTCGAGAGAAGGAATTCAATCCCGTCGAATGCGATGAGGTGGAAGACATCGCATCATAATATTAATGGCGCACTTGATGTGAAACAAGTGTTTAGCCACTTAGGGTGGTTGGAAGAAAATATAGCCAATGTTTAAAGAACTACGGAGTCATGAAAACGAAAAATTGTTATTGCACCCGGTGCATATATGCTCGGTGTGGAGACCAACATATCCAACGATCATTTGTGCCTACTGCTAGGTATGCACGCAATAATATCTCTGTTTAAACGGCCATCATCCCTAGCCCCAGGCCATCTCGCACTTGAACTTCTCCAAAGTTACGATTCTCAGCCAAAGTGACCCAAGCCGCGAGCTTTCCCAAAAGAAGCAGTCAAAGGCAAAGACCGAAAGCCAGCATAAACGAATCACGAACGCATCCGGTAAAATTTCCAAGAACGCAGTTAAAAAGGGGGTACAGAACAAAAAAAAGACCAAGACCGAAAGCAGCCGAGTCTCCACGACAGCCTCGAAACAGTGCACGAGACACGCCGAGAACCATCCAGGTGTATGGCGATCACAGCAGCAGCAGAGGACTGACCGATATTGTTATTGTTCTGTAGTCACTGTTTCACGTGACTCCCGATGCGGGGGAAGAAGCTGATTTGCTCCGTAACAAAATTCCGCAGAGCTTTTGATGACGATGGGATGCTTCCTTCCCTCTCGTCGCATGCACATGGCGGGCTCTCGGGGGGCGTTGCCTCTGGAGAGCCTCCACGTACGCCGTGAGTCACTGTCTCCGTGAAAGGATAGGCAATCGACAGATCGCGATCTTTTAAAGAAAGATGGGGTAGAGAGGCAGATAGATCTTAACGTTAGGTGCGCTCGCTCATGTGCGAGTGCACCTCCTTTTCCTCCTTTTCCCTTTTCTTTTTGCGGGTTTATCGATTAATAATACGTGATGCTTTTGGAAGAATCCGAAAGCTAGGTAGGGTTTTGAAAAGCAGGGTTTCGGGGGCATGCAGGATCTTCACATGTGTACGTGCATGATCGTCTCCAGGGTCTCTCTTCGATGCAATGTGCCGGTCTCGCATTCAGTGGCGCCAGTCTGTGGATTTCCTTTTCAATGATATATAATATGGTATGGTTGATGAGGCAGTCAAGAAATGGGTTATATTCCATTTGCTTCGTTTGATCTTGTGTTATGCGATCATACGCTGCTTACATGTTTTCGTAAGTCAGGGTATGCCATGGCGACGTAGCTTGCACGTCCAAGGAGGAATACCTAACTTTGGCTTTCAAATTATTTTCCGCTTATTGGCATCGTGCGATTTGTTGTTTGTGCATGGGATGTATACTTTATTGTCAATCTTCTCTTATTGAAGTAATCGGGAACATCTCGACGAAGTTTTAGATATTATAATCTCCCCATTTGACGGGTTGAAAGCACGAAGAGTTGCTTTCTCTTGTCGAATGCAACAAAGGAAATTATCTTTATCATTACGATTACAATACTGTTGCTATCGTCGACTTTCGATCGGTTTACCATGTCACGAGTTGAAATTCCCCTAGCCATCGCGAGTTACTAAAAGTATCGTGATCGACATGGCGAACCAATCAAAACCGAGGATGGACGAAGTGGCTTGCGTAGAGTTTCTCTCGTGGAAGATCGTGTCCCATACACATCCTAAAAGGCTCGACGAGCACATGCACATGCACATGAATTATCATATCCCATTCAACGAGCTCCCAAAGTGGCCTTGAGACTAGTTAGGAAAATTAAAGATGTCTATGGGTCATTATTGCTTCCAAAAGAAGCCTCAGTACACTCTCCTAATCTCTATCCTCAAGCTCAGCACAAAGATTAGCCTCCCCAGCTAACTTCTAGGTCAGAACTTTGTAAAAAAGGGGGGCACGATCTTATCCACTTCCGACAGTAATGAATGAATGCTGTGTACTTCCCACCCAACGTTTTGAATGTTCCTAAGGGTCCTTCCTTGCTACTTTTAAGCAGTGTCATGGTTACACCTCCCCTATTTTTTTTTTGTCCTTTTCCCATGAAGGGTTGACGGAGAGCTCGGTCAAATGTCTTCCAAAAATGGAGGGATTGAGGGGAAAGCGGATTTTCCATCTTCTTACATGTATTTTGTCTCGTGCATTTGCTCTTTATGGGAAGAATCGAGGCTAAAATGGAATCTCAATTTTGGTTTGCAACTTTTTGTTTTTTTTACTATTCAGTGGAAACCCTTTTTGTTGGAATGAGTATTGGCATTCTTGGAATGCCCAAATGCACGTTCCATATGTTGAAGGGATTATGAAAATTCATTACCTGAATAGGTAATTGATGGGTTTATTATAAGATTGTCACTTACATGCAAACGGACGAAACATGAATTTAGATATATGAACGCGATTGTAACCCATCAAATGGATGACTAGCTAGTCGAGGAATAAATTGACAATTGTCATGTGCATTTTTCAAGGAATTATTTTTGTACTTATGGGAGAAATCGGATATTGATTATGCTAATATATTTCTGCAATCCCCTCATTTATCTCTTTAATATGCGGAAAATGGATAGGCTTTCCTCACCATTCCTTTTCTCTTTCAATTTAATTGTTCTCCTCTTTTATTCTGCAATAAATTTTGCACCATAGTGTAGACATATACAAAAGGGAAAATAATTTCCTTTATCAAGGACTAAATCTTGAGCACATGATAACTATCATAGCAACTCGTTATACCAAATCAAATCGATATACTCCACAGAACATAGGCTTTTTAAAACGATTCCTTTCAATTGTACCCGCGTGTCATGTTCAGAATGAAGTTAAAATGCATTTTTTTATCGAATCATCCGTAAAATAAAATTTATACGACATTGGAAGAAATGATTTGTCGAGGTAAGCAGAACATCCTCCATCTCTCGTAATGTCACGCGTGCTTCATATCATCTCGTCTTTTATTATTGATCGATAACGTGAGATTCATATAATCTAAACATCGAGATGCACTGAATTTACATGCGCGCGGCGACCCCAAAGCCATTGGTATAATGCCATACACTGCATTATTACCTCTCTCTCAAAACCGATATTTTTGACCGCCGCATACACTGCATTATTACCTCGCTCTCAAAACCGATATTTTTGACCGCCGCAGTGACTTTCTATTACCTCTCTTTCCCACTGCATTCTTAACCTAACCACGGATGAACCGAACCCGAACAGAGTTAAGGCCAACCCCTTCATCATACACAAACCACCCCCCACGGCAGATTAATTTTTTTTTTTGGACCGCCACAGTAACTTTTTTTTTGTTCGGTCAAATCCGCCACAGTAACTTCGGGATGTCTCTTCCCCGAAGCATTTTTAACCTAACCCTGACCACGGTTGAGCCAAAACCTAACCAGGGTTAGTCCCTGGCGCTTTATATGCCCACCACCACCGCTTGCTTCAGCTTCTCCACCACGGGCCTCCCCCCATCCGCCGCCATCTTCCGCCGCCAAAATGATGATCGGCGAGTCCCGCCACCCTCTCCACCCCACGGTGCGCATCCCTCCTCCGTGGCCATCCCTCGACGATCCCGCCGACGAGATCCTCTCCCAGTTCGACGCCGACCACCTCGCCTCCGCCGCCGCTGCTAGCCCGCGCTACCTGCAGGATATCATCGCGGCGCTGCGCCGCCACCAGGCCGACCCGGACTCCGACGGCCCCGACTCGCCGGTCGACCTCTACACGTCCGACCAATTCCGCATGTACGAGTTCAAGGTTCGGCGGTGCACGCGGGGCAAGTCCCACGACTGGACCGAGTGCCCCTACGCCCACCCGGGCGAGAAGGCGCGGCGGCGCGACCCGCGGCGCCACGGGTACTCCGGCGCGGCCTGCCCCGACTTCCGGAGCGGGCATTGCCCGAAGGGAGACGCCTGCGAGCTCGCCCACGGCGTGTTCGAGTGCTGGCTCCACCCCTCGCGGTACAGGACGCAGCCCTGCAAGGACGGGCTCAACTGCACACGGCGCGTCTGCTTCTTCGCCCACACGGCCGAGCAGCTGCGCGTCGTGCCCGGGCAGCAGAGCCCGCGGAGCGTCGAGTCGCTGTCCTCGTCCCCGCCGGCGTCGCCCATGTCGCTGTCGCTGTCCCGGTCGCCGTTCCGGGCGGACCCGGTGGCCGAGATGGTCGCCTCCCTCAGGAACTTGCAGCTCGACAAGGTGAAGTCCATGCCCTGCGGCGGCGGGTCCAGCTCCGGGTCGCCCAGAGGCCCCAGAATCCGACCCGGGTTCTACAGCATGCCCACGACGCCGACCACCCAATCCACCCCGACGGCGCGCGGCGGGATCGGGTATCTCGATTCGTGGGAGAGCGGGTACGAGGAAGAGCCGGCGATGGAGAGGGTGGAGTCCGGCAGGGACCTGAGGGCCAAGATGTTCGAGAAACTGAACAAGGAGAGCTCGTTGGATACCGTCCGACCAGAATCCGTCCCGGATGTATGGTGGGTGTCGGACCTGGTCAAGTGAGAGCGGGATCTTTGTCTACGTGTTCCCTCTCTCTTCATTGTAAATAGGATCTGAAACGGAGGAGAGGGAAAACAGGGTAAACCGTTAAACGATTTCGGACTCTAGCTACTGTACATATATATGGTAACCGGCGGCCATTCGATGGCATGCCGAAGCGAACTTGGAAGTTGGTTCCAGTTCCCAAAGGAGAAGAAGACGATGATCGAGAGAGACAGAACACAGAAGGTTAGGCGACGTTTCGTGTTCGACGAGGGCCCGATTCCCAAATTGCAGAAGGTCTCCTGATTGCAGGTTGATTCCACGTTCCGTTCCTCGATCGTTTCTTGTTTGTTTTTTGGATCGACTGAAGAAGAAGAAGAAGAAAAGGTCGCAGGAGCCATCGTCGATGGTCATGTCCTCTTGATGCAGCGATCTTGAAAAGGGTTTTTTCTATTCTAGTAATCATCATCATCTGGTATCGTGACTCAAAAAACATGTCTGAGGTTTTAAGATTTCTTTACTGATTCTGTCTGGGTATATATTCGTCTGGAAGAAGAAGATCATGGTCTACTAATTCCTCTTCGGTTTTGTTTTTTTTTTGGTCGGTTTCTTTTCTCTGGCCAGAACCCATCCAAAGCTTTTTGAGTTCATGAAAGAGTCTATCGTTACTGAAGTGATTTCCATGTGTGGACTGTGGGGAGTTCATGTCTGTAAGATAAAGATTTCATTTTTATAATGCCAATTTTCGTAGTAGGGTTTTCATTTGTTTGTGGGATTAAATATTTTTGCCGTCCTTCAAAGTTCTCTCTCAAATGTGTGTTATGAGTCCGGACGCGCGAAAATATCATGAACCGCCGCGGACCGAACCGGCTCGGATGTAATAATACAAAATGTATTACACTCTGATGCAAAATTGATTTTGTGGAAGAACAAAATGACGAAATGTAGATGTAGATTTCGAGGATAAAAACCGAGTCAAAACACTATTTTAGTTGCTTTCGAAATTATTTCAAAAGTTTTAAACTATCGATAAAAAAATGTTAATAAACAAATTACGGATTTTAATAAATTAAGGTTGGTGGAAAAATAGTACTTTTAAATTTTTTGTAAAATAATCGTTACTTAGTCAATAATAAAAATTTTAATTATTGATAATAATTTATATTTAAATATATTTATGAATGTTATTTTCGCGAAACAGACATATGCTAATTGTAAATTTTTCTTAAATGTAGATTTTGACATATTTATTCAATGTTGCGCACGAGCATAACGAGGTGCCAAAAAGACTAGGTTTTTTTTTTATAATCCGGACTCTCGCACTGGCCGTGCTACAAGGGTCCGATCGGTCAGGCATCAATCGGAAGAGAGCTAATCTGATCCTACAAATTAGCCTATAAGTAAATTAAGAGTATGATAAGGCCATGCGATAGAGGGAACTCGAATTTGAGACTTGGGACCCAAGTCCTACATCCTTACCAACGCAGCCAACCTCTTGGAGGCAAAAGACACTAGTTTACACGTAAAGAAAGGGAGGTGATGATTCATGTCGACGGTGGAGGGGACAATTCAACAAAGTTTGGTTTGAGTAATGTGGAGAGTCTTTACCGCTATGGCTCTTTTGGGGGCTCCCTCAATAAATTCTCCAGTTCGGTCCCCCATTAAAGAAGGGTGTCCCGCCCTCTCTTTTGACAAAATAAAAATTTGGATGACTGTGAGAGCCTACGATGATGGCGAGCTCTGCTCAAATTAAGCCGTGATTATGACTCTCACCGAACATTCTGCCCGAGGGCATGGAACTCCTATGGCAATGTCTAGGGAGATTGCCGACGCCGGTCGCCCCCTTCAATCCTTTCGATTTTCAAGACTTGGCGACCATAAAGACGGGGAATGAGATCGTATTTCTATTGTCCTCCAAGAGATCCGCACGTGGCATGGTCGAGATCACTCGAGCCGTGATGGAACGGGACCGGACAAATAATTTATGGCGAATGCCCTTAATTGCATCGGCGATTTTCCAATTTGGGATCCGTCGAAAGGCGATGGAGAGGAGGGGTCGCGGGATTATGAACCCCGACGAGATCATATTAAATGCTTAATGACTCACTACGTACCCTTGCGAGCTTAAGTAAAGTTGTCATCCGAGTAGAATTTACCAATTCAACGACCAAAGGTAGTGGAAAGATTTTTTACCTTATCATCGCAAATTTTTCCACAAACCGTCCGGCCTATAATTGGACATCGGATTCTCCACTACTGTCATTGTCGAAGGAAGAATCTCAAACTCTTACCCAAAGATCCCATGAAAGACCAAGCATCATGTAAAATTCAATAGACAAGAATGTACTTCTAGATCATGGACAACTTCACTACCCGACGATGGGTCGAGTGATCCAGGACTTGATTTTGCAAATCAAAGATCACAGGTGCAATTCTCCAGCCTATTTTCAGTACGAAGAAATCCCGTTGGTGTTTAAATAATTATTCTACATCGCTTAACAACGTGTTTTATATGCTACTATTATTCCTGTGGCCTCTTATCACTTATCAGTTTAAGCTTTTGAGTTGAACCTTTTAATATGGTATCGGAGCTGGTGCTATCCCTTTCACAAATGTACATCCACAAATTGATCAACTTAAGTTTTTTGATTGGATTGTCTAACACATGGGCTTAGGTGTATCGCCAATCTTGGCTTTCCACTTGCAGCCGGTTGGACTCTAGATATGGGTTCGCCCAGTCTGCAATTAATGCTTAATTGGTGCCTTAAATAGGGAAAAGTTGTAACTTAAAATTTTATGGAGGAAATTCTATATGGACATAATCTATGGGTGATTTGATGAATAGAACTAATCATCGTGGATGAATCACTCAAAAACATGGGTGAGACCTAATGTGGAGTTTTACGAATTTTTCCGAATGCGATTGACTCAATCTAGTAGACTCAATCTATGCAGTACTCGCCCCCGGGCTCTTTCGATGCCCGGACACCACGTGGATTCGAGAGTTAAATTGATGAGGACGACATTATTGGGCTCACGAGCCAAGAGTCGTCCTTTTCATATGTTTAGCGGTGAAGTGAACGCATCATTGCAGAGTCCCAAGAAGAGGTCCTAGTCGACCCTCGCGAGATATTCCAACAAGGGTTCGTGGAAGATGCCATTGCTTTCTCTCCCTATCTCACCTCTGGACCAGGAAACAAGAGGAGTTTGTCCACTAGTCTTGTTTCGTTTAACACATGTTTAGTTCTAAAGGAGATATGCCGCATATATTCCTTCCGCTACCTCCAAATATATTCTGCGTGATGGTCGGTGCGATGTGTTCATACAATCCTCAATCGGAGGCGGGTGCTCGAGACATGACGAGTCTCGAACGAAATTAAGTCGCCGGATCGAACGTAGGGAGAGAGGGAGAGAGAATCGATCTAATTTGAACAAGAATAGGTCGAGCAAGGTCACTAAGATGGGCTATTTGTTTCAATATGTCACTCCTTTGTGTTTTTTGGTGTTGAAACTATGTGATATATTAATCAAGCTAATCCCATGATTAAGGCTTTTTAAGAAGGGGGACTGTTAGGTTTAATCCACGCAAAATTGGCTTTTAGGCGCTAAATGAACCCTCATCAACCGAAAGCAAATTCGACAAAAGGAGGCAGGGAAACTACAAGACACTCGTCGAATTAACTGAAGCGTACAAAAATCTTTAATCTTGTGCACTATGGGTATAGGGCTATCAAAATGGGTTACAAATTCATATTCTAACCCACTTTTATTTAAACGGGTCACCTTAAACTTAAAGACGTGGGCTTAAAAAAAAAACTTAAAGTAGGAATTATAATAAGTTTTAAAGTTGAAAGTCTAAAACAGATGGGTTTTAGTCGATAGGTTATAAACCCACTTTTAATTCATCAAATAAATAGGTTATGTTTAGCCCATTTCGGTCCTTTTTTCGCCGGTCTTTACTCTCTCCCTCTTTGATTTCGTGACTCAGGAGTCGGGACCTTCTCCGTTCATTTGCTCTGCTTTCGCTATCGTTAGGTTTTCTTCGGTGTCTGGCTCACACCTTCACACTATCGTGACCAATTGAAATTTTGAGGAAACCCAAAATAGGTCGAGCAAGGTCACTATCATGGGCTGTTAGTTTCAATATGTCACTCCTTTGTTTTATCTGTTTTTAGGAAAAAGTTACAAAAAAAATCCCAAATTATGCCTACTGTGACATATTTACCATGAACTTTATTTGTGACATCAAAAGCCCCAAATTATGTTCACTGTGACACATTTATCCTAAACTTTTTTCTTGTGATATAAAAAACCCCCGAACTTGTACCAATATGACACAATTACTCTCCGTCAATGTTCCGTCGGATGATTTTTCAACCAAAACGTCATTTTTATTTAATTTAAGCTACGTGGGTGCCATGTCAACATTGCTTGCTTTCTGAAGCCATGTATGCATATTTTTAACGGTTTTTATTAACAAAACTTTAACGGCGGGTAAATGTGTCACACATGAACAAGTTTGAGATTTTTGGTGTCATATAAAAAACTTTAGGATAATTGTATCACAGCGAATATAGTTTAGGGGTTCCGGTGGCCTTTGCCCCTTTTTGTGTGTTGAAATTGTGTGATGAGTTAATCAAGTTAATCCTGTGATTAAGGCTTTTGAGAAAGGGGGCGGTTAGGTTTAACACCTGCGAAATTGGCTTTTAGGCACTAAATGAGCACTCATCGACCGAAAGCAGATTTAACCGAAGGAGGCAGGTAAACCATACGACCCCCTATTGCTTAAGCACGACATGTAGAGATCACGAGATATTCAATGAGATCTTGATTTTGACAATCGAGTTTATCCAAAGAAATAGGAAATGGCGGCTCGATTAATCTCCACCGTGCCTTTTTCTTTTCCTTCTTTTTTCTATTTTTGGCCATATTTGGACAATTTATCCCTTCTTCTGTTTTTCCCCTGGAGTTTATGAGGCTGTGCTTAGCCCTCCCGTCATTCTTATGTTTTGATTGAGAGATGGGATTTGTCTATTTTACTTTTTTCAATTTATGTAATTTTAGGTATAGTAAATGAAATTTGTACACCCTTTATACCTAGCATTGCATTTCTGTAGAGGAATATTATTCTTGAATTGTTGCATCAAACATTTTCTTTTTGCATAACCCCGCTAAGATGCTGTGTTCGGTCGTGATTGCGAGGTACAAAGCCCATGCTTATAATATCTACAGGCCACAGTCAGTCAGGCCCAAGATAGAAGAATCAGAGAGTCTATCGGCCATGTGAATGCATATTATCTTAACCATTAATTATGCAGGTCGAATCACATAATTTACTTGATCAACGGTCCAAATGATCTTGATTTATATAGTATGTATGCATCTCATCAAACATTAGAAGCGTTTGAACAATGCGGCATTGTCCATATAAGAGCTCGTTTAGCTTCGTTCGAGAGGGAAAGAAGACAAATCTATTGTGTCGCTTATTTCGACGGGATTTCATTTGAATCGAGCTGGAAGATCCGGCTCGATTAATTTATTGGAACATAGAGGAAGAAATTCTTCTGGCTGAAATAGTTCCATTTCATGCTTAAAGCTTCCTTCCTTTTCATGAAATTAGTTCACATTTGGTACCTTCATGACTAACAACAGAAAGCGGGAAATCAAGGAAAAGCAGGTTACGCGCTCCGGTTTAGAGAGTAGAAAGGGAGACGTAATAAATTACAAATGACACCATAATATCATGATCTTAGTCTTAGAGGCCCACCCACCATTTGAACTGGCTTAAACAAAAATTCTTGCCCATCAATCAAAGCTTGGTTGGGCTCGAAACTATTGATTACTGATTTTGAGGGCTTGGACAGAGTCTGTCTTCCTTAAGGGGTTTGGCTTCATTAGGTCACTTTAGCCCCCATGTTAGTACTTTATATAGGGGAAATTAGAAATATCATCTTCGCCTCTTTTTCTCGTGTCAAATACCATCCGCACGTTTCAAAATATGCTCTCGACATCTCTCCCGACCTAAAAAGACCTTTTTGCGTGCAAAAAATCTACACCCAAACCTCTTCCCCTCGCTCTTCTTCCACCCCTTCTCTCTCCTTACAACACAACATTATGGCACAGCGACGATCAAGAGCCATAAGAGCCACACCCGCTGCTAGGAGCCACCACTTTGTGTCGATCCCATGGGGGCACAAAGCGACCCGAAAGCTTACGCCCTCACCTTGCCCGCCGCCCCTCTCCGTGCTCCCCCGTCTCTTGTTGTGTTGAGCTCGCTTGAGCAGCGCGACCGTGCGATCTCGACCTAAGCTCGTGCCTCGCAGTCGCTATGCGAGGTCGGCCCCAAGTTTGCGAGGGTCGTGACCAATTGCGAGTCTTTATGACAGAGTTGGCGAGTTGTGCGAACTTTATAGCAAAGCTCAACCATGATTGCTAGATCGAGGTCGTCCCTCGAGCTAACCCCGCGGCGGTTCTTGGCCTTACATGTGAGGCCAATGCTAGTTACAACGGCCTCGGCGAGCTCTCGTGGTGGATAGGTTGAGAAGTAGCGGTGCAGCAATTTGGGATAAAAAGTGGCAATTTAGTAAATTATGTGTGGATTTTAAGATGCAATTTGAAACTTAATGCACAAAGTGAAGATGGTGATCTATAGATTTTGACAACTCAAGATGATATTTGTTTTCCCTATGTTCTTTTTGAATTGTTTATGCGATTGGTGTAACTTGTGCATGGCTTTTAAGGTTTGACTTTAGAATCTAACAGTCTATAAATTCCATAAGGCCAAAGCTGTTGATAAAGTCTGACCCAATTAAGTAGTTCAATTCTTAATGCTCCAATTAAGTAGTTTAAAGTTTCCAATTCGACATGGTTACTCCAAATAATATATCCACACATAAGGAGCAGCCTCCGCGCCAAGTGTAGTTCTAATTAACATTCCAATAAAATCGATGTAGATTCTGGATATTTCATTAATTGCTCAAGCCTTTTTTTTTAGTGTAGCTCGAATAGCACGAAACCTTCCTTATACCGTTATACATCGGTGCAGAAATTTAGTTGAACGACCTCCTTTTCTTCCCGGAAATCATCAATTATTGAGCTCAAGCTCTTAATTGATTTTCACAAGAGTGTCACGTCACGATATATCGCCACCAACCGTGCCAAGTACCTTACCAAGCTTTGAAGAGGTTAGCGAGACGCAAGCGATGCCCGTCTAGAAGTACATGACACCAAGTAAATTACAATACTTTCCGGAAGTCCAAGATTTCCCTATTCACTCGTAGAATAGAAAAAACCAGCTTCCTCATTTGAAATGCATCATGCACCGAAGGTTCTAAATAGTTTAGAATTCCAATTGCAATTGCATCCTCATTTTTCTCACCTCACCGAATCCTAGGTCAATAACATTAAACCGCGTTGCAAACTCTCCTAGGACAACGTGGGCAGAGCGATCACACCCCCTATCCCCGACCACACACACGACGTCGCCCGCATTGACCCACAGGGGAAAAAACGATAAGTAGCTTGAGAATTAGGAAAACTCGTGCAATGACTTGGCCCTTTCAACAGTAGTTGAAAGAGACATGTTGAATAAACCCTATTCACAAACACCCCCCCGGGAAAAAAAAAAATCTCAACTTTTTTTACATGTTGAATAAGCATATCTTGGTTTTTTAATTGACCCAAAAAAAACCCATAAACTTTTGTCGAAGAGACAAAAGCACCCGTCAAATTATATTATAGACGAATTTTATGAATCAATCTCGGTACAATTACTCGTTTTTAATGGTGGTATGTCTTCGTCCATTTCTTTCGGGACTTTTGATTATCGAGTTATATATAAATACGGATAATTATCTATATTTTTTTTAATTAAGTTCGCATGCGAGTAATGTTCGTGTTCGGCGATTAAACTACTTTATTGGTGCCTTGGATAAAGGGATAGAAGAAATGCAGCCTTATTATTAAACCGAAGAGTCAAATCATGGTCAAGATAAGCTTCGTAGAAAAGTCCCTAAACATGTGTTCGTTTGTGTGTGTCCGTGTGTATATAATCGTCTATCGTCAATTACCATCGTCGCCTCTCTCTCTCTCTCGCTCTCCTGTTTTGTTGCCGTTGTGGTGGTAGGGAGTGAGTGAGGTGAGGGCTCCTAATCATGGGAAGATCTCCTTGCTGCGACAAAGCCAACGTCAAGAGAGGGGCGTGGTCCCCTGAAGAGGACGCCATACTCAAGAGCTACATGCACAAGCATGGCTCTGGTGGTAACTGGATCACCCTCCCCACCAAAGCTGGTAAGGAGAACTTTCCTTCTTCTTCTTCTGCAAGTATGGTTTTGACTGGAGTGTGATTTCTGAGTACAATACTGGGATTTCTGAGTGGTATTGGTCTTGTTGGCGGTGCTGCTACGAATAGGGCTGAGGCGGTGTGGCAAGAGTTGCAGGCTGAGATGGCTCAACTACTTGAGGCCGGACATCAAGCATGGAGGCTTCACTGAGGAGGAAGATAATGTCATCTTCGCCCTCTACGCCGCCTTAGGAAGCAGGCAAGTTTCAATTTTTGCGCTGCCACTCAGCTCAACTTTTGATACGAAATGAATTTGCGCGTCGGGTTTGAGTTTTTTCGAGTGATCCGTAGGTTCGTGTTTTCATGATTTTGTGTCCCTTTTGTTGTGACGTGACCAGATGGTCGTTAATAGCTTCGAGACTGCCCGGAAGGACAGACAACGATGTGAAGAACCACTGGAACACCAAGCTGAAGAAGAAGCTCCTCTCTGCGGGACAAACGGCTCGTCTCAGGAGCGATAAAAATCAGAACTTGGGCGGGCGTGCGGCCTCTGGCGTTCCTAAGCTCGAGACCCACGATGACCATATCGTAGATTCATCACCATATTGCTTCTACACCAGCAGTTTCAGCGCATTGCCCCAGTTACACACGAGTCCCGGCCATCAAGAATACAGCAACTTCGATCATCAGGACCAGAAAGCACCGAGCTTTCTAGCCCCGAATGCAGTGGAAAGTTCGGATCTTGGCACTGGTGGGAACAACTTCGGCGCCGCCTCTTCAACATCGCTGCAAGAGGTATCCAGTCTCTCCACCGCTTCGTCTTCTCTCGCGTTTCGTGGGAACGATGAAGTCAATGCAGAGGAGGAGGAGGAGCAGATCTTTCTGGATTTCGATTATGACATCCTAAACGGGTTTTGGTCGTGCGAACAAAGCGGCTTCATTTGGCTGACATAGCTTTAACTCGTCGATTGATTAACTGGGAGATCAGAAACACGATTCAGGAGAGATGTTTAAGGCTAGAAAAAGTACAGGATGAAAAATAGAGCGTGGAGGCTCAAGATTGTCCTATGTTAAAAGTAAAGGTTGCTGTTTGTTTAAAGCGTTTTAGCAATGGCCACGTCGCTGTCTGTGAGGGTGACTTTCTAGTCAGCACACCAGTTTCGGTTTGGCCTCTGACTGGTCAAGGGTTCATCAAGCTTGCATGTTTCTCCCTTCTCCTGCAATGGAGTCAAACGCATCTCTTCTCCCTCCCATATCTCTGAGACTGACTGTAAATCTCTCTCTCTCTCTCTCTCTCAGCATGCTTTGTCCTCTCTCCCTCCTTCTATATTGAAGCGAAAAGTAGAAATGAGCAAGACGCTCCCGCCTCCCGGTTCCTCAAAAGCGAAACCGATGTCTAGGTGATCCGATTTCTGGTTTCAAGAGAAACCAGACCGATTATTACTTATTTATTTTTAAATATAAACCTAATAATCTAGAATTCCTCACACACGCCTCCGCTTGCTCTTCTCTTTCGGTCTTTTCGAATTCGCCCACGACGCTCTCGCCTCCTCTTTAGCTAACTCACATCGGGGCAGGTTTGACCAAATTATGTGTTCAATTAGAGCAAGTTTATCGATTAGAGTGTGGTTCAGATACAATTGATGTAGGCAAGATACTCGATTACGAGGGAAATTTATTTAGGTAACATGGGATTTTATTTTGTACTATTTCAAAGTGTTCACAGTGAAAGGAGAATATGGTGGTTATGTTTTAGACAAGCTTGTTTGCTTTGAACATCAAATTTCACTGCATAATGAAGTGCTTAAAATGATCGGTTTTCACGGAATCGTCTGAGAATCGGGTCGGATAAAAAATCGATTACTCCTTACGAAAGGACAAGGCAAGATCCGCACTTAGACATATAATAATACACACCCACGTCGCACTGAAGTTGCTTGTTGACTCGTGGAAGGGGAAAGGACAAGTGCATGGACCTCCAAAGTCTCCGAACTCCTAATTGTATATTGTTTTCATTTGGTGCTAATGCTTTGTGATTTATAAATGAAAACATGTTTTGAATTTAGAAAAAAATTTATGAAAAATATAAGAGTTAAAAGTACAAGATCTGCAAGGTTCACAAGATGTCGAGATTTTTAAAAGTCGAAAGTTTTTCGAAACTGGGCTCAATTTGGCTTCACATGACTGTTACGTGTTTTATTCGCAGAATTGTGGTCTCCAAAAGCTTAATGGATTCAATTAGTGATCAGAGTCTAATTGAGGATGGCCTTTTATTTTTTCTGGGTCGACTAATCGAGGATGATCGATGGCCAATTAAAGTACCGAATTCCACTTTAAAGCAGAAGTAAATATATTCTAATACATGTTGAAGTCTCAACGGCTTTGTAAAAACCCAATTACCGAATAAAGTGCAGAAGAACGATCGAAATCATCGAGGAAATTGCATGAAACTTCATCGAATTAGGACGTATGGTTTTTATTCTTGAATGACATGCTTGCTCGACGATTGAAATTGCACGTGAACTTCCTAATGGAGACGAATGAAGCGCGTAGAGAAAGTTAAAAGCTCACGTGTACGTCTGGAAATCTTGTATAAACAAAGACTAGTAATTAGAATAAGAAAAGGTGGACACCCTTTGTATAGGCTGCACGATCTTTCTTGATTTACCCAACAAAATTTGAATAGAGCCACTAAAAAATCTATCAACATTAATTGTCTCGTGCCCTCATGTAGTTGTCGAGAGGGGAACATCGTTCATATGAATGCTTATGCCGTATGACATTTGACATGCGACAGCATTTTAAATTGGTGATCTCGTTTTCCACGCATAGATTAGTGTGTGATACTGTATCGACATGTCAATAATATAGTTGTTTGAGAAATTCTGTTGATGCCAAATTCAAAAGTTAAGTTTGGGAAGTAGTTGATGACTTAATATCATGTAGCTGACCTATAATTATAAGCTTGAACTTTTGAGTACGATGAGTTTAACTGCACGTATCATTGGGCTTGGATTTTGGCTCTCTCGATGATAGGTAGTTGAACTTGTGATGCATGTCCCAACCGGAGTAGTGTTTGATTGGTCGACACTCCCGATGTGTATCGGCATTTGATGAAAATAATTCGAGGAAGAAATCTCGTAATCAAGGCGATTGTCGGATAAAGATTGCTATCATGGTTGGTATGGCTGAAGAGAGACCACGAGTGAAGGCAAGAGTTATGAGGTGGCAACACAGTCCATGATTGGCGATGATGGTTGTTGTGGTAGCACACGAGGCTCACAAGCGAGTGGAGATCGATTGAGGTGCATTCGTTGGAGGGGGTTAGACGAAACCCCACATTAGAGAATCGTGGTGGTATGAACCAATAATATATCGTAGTAAGCCAATAACTAATTGATTTAAGTTTTGAGTGAATGACCCTCTAACCTGATAGGTCCATGGACTCGAATTTGAGCTTTATCTTACAATATGGAGATTTCTTTCGCGCGTCTCGATTATGTGTTGTAGCCACACATGGTCAAATCTCCTTTCGTTAAAAAGTCCCAATCCAGATCACAATCGTCCAACTTTTCTCTAGAGAAAAGCAAGCTTGGAATGGTAAGATCTAAGATAATTCAACAAGGGCAGAGAGACCGAGTTTCTTTGCATGAGCGGGGAAATTCCTCATCATCCATCCAATCTTTTTACAAAAGAAAAGTAGTTTTTCTTCTCAATTCAACAGCAACGTTTCCCTTATTCAAATGGGTCACAGCAGGTCAGTCCTTGCTCACTATTATATTAAGCAGCATTTAAGTGAGCTTGAGGAGTCCAAATCTTACTAGTCTCCTCTCCTCTCCTCTCCTGTCCAGCATTAAATATAATGGCTCCAATCCCATGCATCATCATCCTCCTTTCGTCAAAGTCAAAGGCAGCATCTGGGGTGGTGGACTGACGATTAGTCCGTCTCTGCAACTATAGGGCTTTTTAGACCCTCGGCTTCCTCGAACTTTCCTCCGTTCAGAAGAAGAAGATCATCACCACCCCCCCTATTGCTTGATGTGGAAGGATCCATTAAAAACTGTTTTGAAAATTTGCCCACTTGCCTTGTTTTCAACGACAAGCAAGAAAGATGGAAAAGATGGAGGGATGAGGACTTTCTGGGTGCGCTCCATTAATGTTTTTTGTTTCCTTGACTTTCGCAGGTTAAAACCCAGATACAGTTCAAAGGGTGGTTTTTCATAGGGGTGAGCATGGTTCCTGATTATATTCTGAAACTGGAGAACCTGATCAATGAGAATCTGTACGTTCTAAATTTCAAGATATGTAGAATAGATTCTAGGTTCTAAAAATTAGAGAACCTATTTCGACAGGTAGATTTCATATTCTAGATAGGTGGAACCTGAAACATGAACATGTCTTCTCGTGATCCTGCGGTATTTCATGGCATTAGATGATTAGCGTATGATCCGGAACCACTAGTCTGAGCTTTTATTTTATGACTTGTTAATGTTTCATATTTTTCGTGCGTCTAAATATAAGTCGTGGTTAGTGGATCATAGTAGTAAGTGGTGATTATTAAAGGTAATGATTCACTGTAATTATTCAATTAATAATACAAGTGGAACCTGAGTAGACTCTGGAACTGACCCTCAAACCTATGATAATGTAGGTTCCAAGTTCCAAAAAATGAGGAACTTATTATCATGGGTAGAACTTATACGGAACATAGAACTACTCACCCCTAGTATTGATTCACGCAATAACTTTTCATTTTAGTTATATTTATTTGAACCGTAATGCCAGGAAAACTAGTCTTTTGTATTCTCTTTGATGAATGATAAGTTTGTTCAATATTGTTGCGTTCATTTTTATTTTGTTTAACTAAAAATGCAATAAAAAAAAGAACTTGTTAGACCTTGGAACCTGTGATAGGATAAGTTTCAAGTTCCGACGGGTAGGTTCTAGATTTCAAAAAATGAGGAACCTATACCCGAGGGTAGGTTCCAAATTTCATTTGAAACTTGTAAGTAACCTGGAACCGCTTATCCTTAATTTTTCAGTCCATCGAACTTGCGTCAACCCCAGATTTTTACCTCAAACTGGCGTTCTCTTGACATCGTATTTGAATTGCTTCAATACAAGAAAAAAGCGGTCATGCTCAGGGGCTTATGTACGACAGCAAATGTAGTTGTACACGTTGTTGACATGGACAATCAGGAAAAAAAAATATGTGCACTCGAAGAGTATTGCGTGGTAGTATTCAGGTAAATGGATCAGAATCAGCTGTTGTTGCTGTTGCTTGGTTGGTGCACTGAGATCAGTCACAAGAGATGGCGCAGCCCCACCTGAGCATACATATATTTTTTGTTGAGTAGATTAATTACTTTGCCAATTTTTATTCTAATCCATGTTTAGGGTCCGTTTGTTTGAAAGGAAACTGTTTCCGGATAATTGTTTTCCAACTTTCCGGTGTTTGGATAATGAAAAACTAATTGATCTATAGAAAACGTTTTTCATGAACTGAAAACAATAAACTTATATTGGGTCCTTTTAATTTATTTTATATAGTCCTTGAACTATTTTCTAATGTTCAATCTATTGTTACTTTTTTACATTTTTGGTCATTATAAATGTTACAATAGTACCACCGCCCGCAGCGGCTGTGTGCTCTCTTCCCCTCACGAAGGGAAGGAGTTCGAATCCCAGCGTTGTTGTAAGAGATTCTTAAGCGTGACGTCGTGGTGGTGGGTCCTGCGCTAGCGTCACCCCAGGTTTACCTCTCCGGCTGTCGGCCATGCGGGGGTTCCCGGGTTACCAAAAAAAAAAATGTTGCAATAGTTTCATTTAATTATTTTTTACCTCATGATCTCTATCAAAGTAAAAGTAGAACCTCATTTAGAGTTGTATCGGGTTGAATTCCATGCTATTTCGGTTTTCTTATTTATAGATTTAACTGAATTTATTTAAAAAACACGAAACACAAAAGCATGAAAATTTTATCTATGTACAAATTTAGGAACAACATTCAGATGTACGATTATTTATAGATGAATTAATATTATTTTTAGATATCTTCATGAAAACACTTATTATTAAAATTAGCAAGAATGTCAACCCAATATAACTCTAAATGAGGTTCTATTTTATTGTTATAGACATCATAAGTTAGAATATACCTAAACCAAACTATCATAATATCTATAAAGACTTTAAAGGTATTAAAAAGATAGCATTTTTTTAATTAAGAAAATAGATTGAAATGAAACATATT